GCCCCATTCTCCTGATCCATCTTTGGTTCTTCCACCTGTAGAGGCTCCCACAAAATCCAACACCATCAGAACTTCTGCTCGTTAAAAGGTGTGTGTCTATATATATAGTTACATATGCTCTCTCTCTCTCTATATATATTTTTCTACAGATCAAATCCCCTCCTTGAAAGAAATTTGGCACGCGAGGAAGGCCTTGTCTGGAAGACCGCGCAATTGATCTGATGCACCCGCTTCTTTGGCCTCCAACGGCTTCTAGGTATATATACATAATATGCAAAAAGGATATCCCTCATGATATTCATATGGGAGGGGTTGACGTGTGTGAACAAGGGTATCCAAGGGACAAAATTCTCAGGCCCTGCCATACCCCACCATTCCATTTCTGGCCACTGTTGGAAATGGAAAGGTAGGGTATTCCTGGTACCCTACCATTCCATTTCTAGCACTCGGCCAGAAATGGAAAGGTAGGGTATCCAAGGGATAGCCAGACAAAATTCTCTAGAAAATGGTGGCTCCTCCTCATTTTCTAGTGGCTTTGGCGTCTTGACCAGAACCTCGCCCACCCAAAATCCTCAGGCCCTGCCATACCCCACCATTCCATTTCTGGCCAGTGTTGGACATGGAAAGGTAGGGTATTCCTGGTATTTCTGGCAGGCTGGCCACAAATGGAGATGGATGGTGGTTGACAGGATCTGTGTGAACCATGCGCTTCCAAGCCCCGTGCTTCGGCTGGCTACAACGCTTTGCTGTTGCGCGCTGCGCTCCTCTTCTTCATCTCCTCACCTTCCTGTCCTCGCTCCTCCCTGTTCATCCTTGTCAGGATTGCGGCAACTTGTGCATGGCACTGGCTAAGGAACTTCGTTGTGTCAATTTCGGTGTGTGCTGTTGTTGGTGCTTGTTGTCAACGTCTCCCACTGTCCATACCCACTGTCTCCCCCCCATGTCCTCCCGGTCCCTTTTTCTGGTGAAGCTCACAGTCACCGTGGAATTGGACCAGCAAAGTATCTTTAACAGCCCCAAATTTATATATATAATGGATTTTAAGTAGGGAAAGCAAGACCAGAAATTGATGGGTGGTAGGGTTCGAGGTCGCACCGCCTCATTTTCTAGTGGCTTCAGTGTTTGGACCAGCACCTGGTACACCCAAATCCTGAGACCCTGCCACACCCTACCATTCCATCCCATACCTCTTTTTTGTTGGTACCCTACCATTCCATTTCTGGCACTCTGGCCAGAAATGGAAAGGTAGGGTATCCAAGGTAGCTTATATGAATATATATAGTTATAGTTGGTAACATAATGGTCAGTGGTGGCATTCTATCTTCAGGACTGCAACTGAAGAAAAGCTGGCAAAGTGCAAAGTGCAAGGACTAGCTTTGCCTGAATTAAGAGTTGGCAGCAGAATCAGAGCGCTTACACCAGCAGGCTTTCATTCCCCCAATGGCACGGACTCACGCAAACGCACTTGCCGAGGTCATGCAACACCGCATGGCACAGCGACATCACCTTTCGAAAGCTTTAGCTGTTAGTCTACTGAAGAATAACTATTCTAATGAAGGTTTTTGTAGGGGAAAAGGAAGACCCTTCGATCTGGAGCTTTTTTGCATTTTTGATACGAGTTTAATAAAGGATTTTATATAAAACGTTACGGATTTACTTTTTGGTTTTGAAGCTCTTCCCAGGTGACCCTGTTTTGGACCCCCCGATTTCAGGGACCCCCTATTAGAAATAATGCGACCGAGGTTTCCTTATTAGGGGGGAGGGGGGCCCCGTGTTTTTTAATAGGTGGATTGGATTACCAACATATATACACACAAGAAGTGGACTGTATAACTTCTCAAACCACGCTGGTGGCGTTCCAACTTACAAAACCCCGCCTGTGTAGTGTTTGCCACTTGTTGGGCGGCTGCTCTGGTGCTTGTCATCCAAACGCCCAATGCCGGGCGACCGTTGTTTTCCACAGTTGGCTGGTTTGGTAGGCTGAAGTGGGGCCAAAATTGCCCGATCGCAGCTTGGATCCTTTCTTTTGGCTTACTTTGTTTGGTAAGCGCGGGAAATGTTGAAATCACCCTTCGGCTACTCCAGAACTTGTGGAGGGTGCATTGGTCTGGGTCTGGCGCCTCATCGAAGGGATTTGTGTCCCCTATCGCGGCTTGTGCCCGAATCGTTGTAGGCATTGGGTTGCTCATGGAGTGACACTTCAGCCCAGGAAAAAACTGTGGCAGAAGCAATTGCTTAGCAAAGGGTTTGACTTTGCACACCTTGCGGCGTTTCCTCTTGCTGGTAGGCCTTGCCTCCTCATTCATTTCAGTCGTGGTCTCCTTGAGCGACTCTTCTATCTCCTGGTAGGGCCAAGGATGGGCGGACTCTATCTCTCTCACTCTCTCTTTGTTTCTGCCCCTCTGAGACCCCCTTTCCTACTGACTTTTGTATACAGTCGGGTATTTATTTTATATATATATATAAAGTTATATAATATGTGGACTTTGACCCAGGCTCCTTCAGTTGGCCGTTCAGGATGTCGACAGGTGCCTGCGGTACCATAGCCTCGGTCCACCATGTCCATTTCTCTACACTTATGTACGCCTAGGTGATAGGCAATGAATGATTTGGCACTTAAAATAAAACATATTATAAGATATATAATTAACATATTCATCATATATATATATATACGCATGTAGTTTTTGAATCAAGCAACATCCTCTGCCAGTTCCATCGCAAAAATGGGCTCTGATGTAGGGCGAAGGAGATCGAAATGGCCAAAGGTTTTTTCCCCTGTGGAGTCTGTGGCCCAAGAGAAGAACAAATGAGCCGTGACAGGAGCTGTGGCGTGGCCCAAGACGCAATCTTGAAGAAGAGCCGGAAAGTCTTCCTTGATCGCCTGGTGCACATCGGGCCTTATGGTGCACCGCACCTTGATGTCCAATGCGCCGGCAATCCATGACAAGTCCTGAACATAGAATGCGTTGTCTGCTCGAACCCTCTCCACGTGGGGACGGCAAGAAGGCCAGCGCTCCCAAGCCCAATCACCTGAAGAAGGCACAACTGTTCATTGCCATGCGAGACATATATACATGGTAGAATTACAACTGAAACGACAAAAAAGGTTTCTGAAGCCAAATCCAGTAGCAAACATCGGCACACAACTCTTTTGACTCCTGAACTTCCTGCTGGTTTTGCCGTGGGTTCAATGGATAGTGCGCGCTGTTCCTCCAGAGCAATGGCTCAAACAGATAGAATGTTTTCCCATCTCTCTCTATTGTCAACACCATTGATCTTTATCACTTCCATTTGTAACTGAGTAAACGATCTCTAGAACCTGAATGCTACCAAACATATATATATATAAGGCATGCTAACTGTACAGTTTACTGTAAAAAAACAGTGTGAATGCTGCCAAACGTACATGGTAGAGAGATGTGACACTTAGCTCAAGTGACAGCTCGATCCAAGAGGCAGGGCAAGTGACCTCACATGAAGAATGAGCCAATCTAGTTGCCCGACCCTCCGCATATTCCCTAAACCACATTCTAAGTTTCGGTCCGGTACTATAGATTTATACTGTTAAAATATTGTTATGTGTGTATATATATATAAAGATATGTATTGACAATTCCTGTCTTGTAACAAAGGCCTCAGTCCTCGGTACACGCAAATACCCTTCGGTGTTTGCGCTGGCCAGCAATGCACGCCACCCACAGCGACCATCACCCGCTACTCCAATGATTTCAAACCGGACCAGCTTGACTGTTGGTTTGACCTCTGCCACTTCCATTGCCTTCTTCACGACTGTGCCCACAATGGTCTGGTAGATGTGATCCCGCTTTGATAGATGAAGGTGCTGGACCCAGCAAATGTTGCCGAGGCGTTTCCCCTTCATGTAGCTGAACGTAGGAGACAAAGCCATCATGTGAAACCCGTCTTCATGTGGAGTGAGCTTGGCGCAGGACACGCAATTCAAGTCATGTTCTGGTACCTCAAGAGTGGTGGGAACACTTCTGTGGTACAAACAAACATACAGTTAGAATGCCCTCTCTCTCTATATATACAGTATATATGTGCACATATACATAGAGAGATGACACTGAGCCGGTGATATGGGTGACCGGGAAAGATGGAAGGGTTCCAACTGCAATGAAAATGCAAAAAAAGGCCTGTATACTGTATACAATGCTCTCCAAGCTACAAAAACCACGATGGAAGGATCCAAACCCTTCTCCAGCAGAGTCACCAGAAATTGTTTGGCGCAGCTCCGTGGCGTTTCTTCTTCTCCCATCACTGCCCCGCAAATACGAGCTCCTTCTTCTTCGCAAGCCTTGGCCACTCGTGCATCTGCCAGAAGATCCGCCAGACTTGTTCCCACGATCAGCGAGGTGCAAGCTACACGACCATGGTGTTGCCGGTGAGGCATGCCAAGCATCAATCCAACCAGTCCGGGTGTGTTGGCCATCCAGCATTGGAAGCCCGCCACAGCTGCCTTTGGCAAAGAAACAGCTGATGCTTCAAGCAAAGGCCCTTCCGGCTTCTCCACTCTGGGGCGCAAAATCTCAGCCGTAACATCTTGTGCCCCCTCCAATCCCGCCACAGGTTCCTTGCAGAAAAGGTCATTGATCGAGCTGCTCCCCAAGCATCGCACATCACGTTCTGCTGCCATGGAAGCCTTGGCATGTGTGGGAGTTGGTTGCGCTTGGATATATGTATATATAGATATATATGTTTTGTTAATCTTATATTTCATTATTTGCTCTAAAATGAAGTGATAGAATGCTCCGCGTCTATCAATATAACGATGTTGGCCTTACAGGGTATGTGGGAACAAAAGTAAAAGTTAGAATGGGGGGCCGAGGCCCCAATTTTTACACCCTACTTTCCCTTAAGCTTTGTTATCATATATATACATAGGTATAGACATAAAACGTAAAAGGGCGTGCTTGGAAACCTGTGCTCCAGGGAGTTTCTTCTGCATCACGCTTAGGCCCTTCCGCAACTGGCCAGCCTTGAGGGATGCCTCCATTTGCCCAATCCACCCAATGCAAAGGACTAATGAAGAAAACGACCTCGAGACACTTTCATCAGTTGCCTTGAAGGTAGCACGAAAGGACATAGTGCCACTCGCTTCCTCAGCTACCTCAATTGTACCATGCTTTGATGGCTTGCATGCTGCCGCCACCGCCACTTCCACGCATCCTGAGGAACACTACAGTATCCTGTGATACTTTTGATGGGGATTCTGGACTCTTAGAATGTGGCAAAACCACTAAGCCCTGAACGAACCTCAGCTTTGGCGCACAGGTTGGCCAGGTACAACTTTTTCTGATCCAATGAACGCCCCTTCAGCTTGATGCCGGTCTCTTTCAACCAAATATCACGCTCCTTGACAGGGCATGTATGAGAACCCATCCATTCAGCAGTACACACAGACAATATGTGTATTTTATTGTGATATACAAGACTCCAAGTCAATATATATATATATATGTACAGTATATATAATATATATATATACAATTGATTTTTATTTGATTCAGTCCTTTCCACGTCTGATCTCGAAAGTAGCGAGCATGTCACTAACCACCTTCCGGTAGGCCAAAGCTGCATCTTGTGCTGCAGATTGCCCCCCAAACTGCTTGAAGCTGAATTTGCGGATCACGGTCGCCATGTTGACCGAGTACCTTGGATTGTGTTATTTATCCCAGGAAGCGATCTGAGGACCTTTATGGAAAAAACATATATATATATATATATAACTATATATTTATATATACTTATTTAGTTTAATGTGTGTGTCTACCGACATGCTGCTTGGAATGCATTTCCATTGTGGATTGTGGAGTGCGGATGAGTGGGGACATATATATATATATATACATTTATAGCCAGCAATGAAAATAATAAGGGACATATGCTGTTGGGCTACTCCTGTTTGTTCTTCTTCACCTCTGACGGCAGTGGTTTTTCATGCACATCGATGGGATCCTCCTCATCGGACTCCGGTGCCCCAGGAGGAGGTGGTAGTGGAGGTTGCTCTGGTTCATCCACACCATGACCTGATGCGACTGCACAAGGCTACAAGGTTTCCCCACAGTTAGAATGCCTTCGCCAGGGGGGTGCATTTAAAATAGTCTTCAACTACCCACCCATGTGAGCGACTGGTTCACCACATTTCATGCACTCCAAGAAAACATCCCACAAAGAGGCTTCGTTATTGGCTTTACGGCTTTGTTTTCCAAGGAATGTGCAAGATTCTGCAAGATATCACCAAAAATGATACATTTATATGTATATATATAAGACCTTAACGCTATGATTTTGACTGTGGCTCATGTCTTCCCTGGCCTCGCGCGAGTAGCTCTTGTGTCAACTTCTCCATCGCGAGCGGTCTCTGGCAGATGAAGATGGCTCTGCTGTCAGAGCTTGACGCATCCTATTATACACATGTATACAACACGTTGCAATCGCATATTGCATCCAGATGTCAAGAACTCTTGTGAATTATTCGCTATATATAGGTGTATGTATCTATATACAAATGCGTACAAATGTCAACGTGAACACAGGTTTGAGCCA